TAAAAATTCATGTCGGCGGGATGAACGGCGACGTTAAAAACAACTCAATATTTTCAATGCGCCGCTTGTGCGCCACACTGTTCGTCCCGACGATTCTCTATATCCATAGGGAGTTCCGAATTCGCACGGGCGAACGAGTGCGCTGAATAAAAGCTAGAACGAGTGTTCGTCCCGCGTTACTGTGCCGACTACTACAAACAGCGTAAAAGTTCCGTCCAACGAGACTTAAAAAAGCGCTCTATTCTAAATTTTCGAAATAAACGCGCGGCCCTTGTAAGACTCCGGGTGTTTTAACATTCGTTCGCAACGGAACATTCTTTGCATCTCCGCGAAAGAAAGTGCCACTTAAAGCCTTGCGCCCGGCTTCGCTACTCTCTCTCTCTCTCTCTCTCTCTCTCTCTCTTTCCTCTTTCTCTTTCCTCTTACATTCTTTCCCACACCATTTATAAATAAATTATCTTCAGCTTCCTGTGGCGTTATGAGTGATAAATTTAACGACAGAGGAGTATTATAATAACAATAAAGGAGATCTTTGTGTCGGTGGGCGGGAAATATTTGCGTAGAACAGAAAATATCCGTGATATAATTTAAAAATGCCAAGAATACACACGGAAAGAATGATTTTGTTGAAATATCTAAAAATTTAGTTAGATACAGATCTGAAAATAATTTTGTTGGACCGTTGAAATAATTACGTAGGAATTTCAAGCGTGGTGAGCAATGCTGCAAAAAGTTTTGAAATTTTAGTAACTAGCTTAAGCGTCCTATGTAATTATTTTGATGGTTCAACAAAATTATTTTTAAATCCAATTAAATTTTCCGCATCTGCCTAAACTAAAAATTCCGTATCTACTTAAATTTCTATAAATACTTTAGCAAAATTATCCATTTCGCTCAAACTTTTACAAGAGAAAGTTGAGATTAAATTTTGTCAAAATATTAATACATGTTCGATCGGAAAAATATAACAAATCTCTCAAAGATTTTATTTCACTTGCTATTTTTTTCTGCATTTCTATCAAAAATGGCGAGGACTTTCTGGTGGTTTTCCCTTTGACCGATCAATCGTCAGTGAGCGCATTTCGGATCGTTTACGTTCTACATTGGGCGAAGAGGAAAGCACCACTCGACATTTTGGCCCGATAAATGGGGAGACCGGACACAGGGAAAATACCATCTCAATTTGATTCGATTAAACAGGAAATAGGCAGCGTGTATTTCCAATCTATGTACGGTATATATTTGCAATTGATTAATCGCCGTACGGTCCGGCCGCGAGGCCAAATTGTCTAAACGCCGGAATCTATTTTTCCAACGGGCGTGCGAATTGCCGATTACCGGCTTCACCGTACGAACGCTGAAAATAACGATCGTCGAAACGCATACAAAATACGCGGTCGTCGCATATGCCTGTGAAAATAGTAATAATTTAATTACAAATTTTTGTACTAAAAGCGCTTCGCAATTGATATGAATACCTATTGGATACACCAGCATCGCTTTAACATCGCGTAACGACACGGAATGATAGAACCGGCAGTCAAAGTTTCCATTTTCACGGTACTGATCCATCTTACGATGTAATACACGCGTTTTACAATGCATAAGTAAGAGCAATATAAAGAAATTCTCAAATGTAAAAAGACGCGAAATTGCATGTGAGTCGCGAGCTACGCAATATCATTCTGCACGAAATTCTGAATTTCCCACCGTTAATAGAACGCTCTTAAAAAGGCGTGGCCAGCATTTTCTTTCTTTTTACGATTTACCGACATCCACCGAGTACAAGATACATTTTTCAGGAAAGTGCCCGACGTCAAAAGGAATTGAAAATGCAAAGATAAGTCGTAAAATTATACTTATTCCTTCTAATGGCTGCTCGTTATGAATACTTGAAACTAGAAAGTAAAATGATGTGTGAGCAGACCAGCAGGTCGTGAAAAGCCACTTTTCCATCAAAACATGATTCATTCTAATGTCGAAATGTCGACGTTATTGATCGAAAAATGACTTTTAATAATCGATCATTTCGAGTAGAGCTCTATATATGAACTGTAGCGAAGGTCCATCATGTTTAAGCTAATAATCATATCATATAAAAAATTGTTTACTTACTTATAATATATATAGTTATAAACTGTGTTTACTTACTTATTTATTGGTTTATTTACAAAGTTTACTTATTATTTATCATTCACTTGTTAGACAGTAGGTCAAAAATAGGGGTCGAAATAGCCAATGAGAAAATTGTCGGCATTTAGTTCAGGATTGCGTCTACTCTTTTATAAATAGAGCTCTAATTTCAAAGTCATATTGACGTCTTCTAGCTAAATTTTTAAATACTCCAGCAAACTGTTCTTTTCTCGGGTTTTCTTTCCTTATTTTCCAGCCAAAAGAATGATTTTTGTTCGGATTATCATTCCTTATTTTCGTTTTTTCTCGCTTTTATTTATTTGTTTGTTTTTCAACTCAATAAATGATCGCTAAGTTGAGACAAGCGTCACATCATGCGGACACGATAATGCATGTCGCCGTGACAATGTTCTAATTGTGCGTGACAATACAGTTAAATTCATCACGTAAATGCAGCACATTTGAATTTGTCGAATATTTGACAACTGAACGCATTGTTTGGAACCGGCTCCACGCGCATTCGCGAAAGTCATAAATTTCGCCGACAATTAGAGCGCAAACTGCACTATCCATTCGAAATATGTACGTATACATGTATAAATACGCAAACCATGAAAATATCTACTACATTGCGTATAGAATGAAGTCGTCATGTACGTCGCCATAATCTTGGATAAATATTTGCCCCATATTTAACATAGAGAACGACTCTGTCTGCGCAATCATACGAGTAACATCGTGGCAGGGAATTAAGATGTGTGCAAAACATGTATGAAGGTGTAAGAACGTTTATCTCGATGCCATATCGTGAATGATGGAATTTAAAGTAGATATATAATATTTTTATAATATAATACACATTTAACACCGCATCTTTTCTCACATTTTGTTAAATACATATATAAATAACATAAATCCATAAGTTCCCGAATACTCCTAAAAATTAAATAAAATATATATTTTTGCCGAATTTTTTTATATTTTGGCGACGTAATTTGATCTTTTTTGACTATAAAATAACTATAAAAATATCTGTCATGGCTTGATATGTTGTTTAGAAAATTTAAAATTTTTTTCATCAAAAAATCTCTAGTGATAGACGGGTGTAAAAAGTATAATAGATCCGTAGATCGTACCACAACTTTGGCGACGTTTATAAAATAAAACCTGGAGAGGAAAAATATCATTAAGTATATGAAAGTTTGAAAAATTAATTAACAGAGTGCCGAAAATGTAAGGGTTTAATAAAAGTAAAAGAATATTATGAAAAGAAAAAATTGATGAGAATATCAATTTGTGACAAATATTTTTGGAACTTTTTAATTAAAAAACCAAATTATTATAGTTATGTTACCAAAATAAAAAATTACACAGTACAGCGTGTTTTATTTTATTTTTAAAAGTATTCTGGAACTTTTAAAATCGTATATGCATTTTTTGTAAATATAAAAACCAATATTATACAGTGAAGAACAAAATTTCCTCAAAAATATGACATAAATTATAAATTAATATTAATTAATGTTAATTGAGGTTATAATGTTTTTAGTTATTTGGATAAAAATATTGCCAAATATTCGTTACAGATTATGATATTGATATCAGATTCATATTACCGAAATAATTTATTATTTGACAAATAAAAGTAGCAAACGAATAATATTTTACGCTAAGTAAAATTGTATTTCAACAGCTGGCTGATGGAAACCTTTTAATTATAAACCCAGAATATTATGTAAGCTAATTTCAGCGCTGCATTGCATTATCTTTAAAAAATTCAAATAAAGAAAGTTTAATTTCTTTACAATTATTTACTTTTGAAATGTACATGTTACTACTAATTGTACAATAATAATTATACATTATAACTTCTTTTCCTAATATCATCATTATTTATTACGATAAATCTATTGTTAATTTGTATTATCAATTATCGATGTATCGCATTTAAATGACGATAAATCAATCGTTGCATTATTAAATTAATTATTAGGTTACAAACATATATATTACGCTAACAATACTTGCGATATATCGAGTTTGCAAAATGGGTTAAGTGCACGAGCGACCCTTTTTCATTCGTCTGATATAAAAACAATTAAATTGCTCTCGTCGTTTGCGTTTGCACATAAAAATTTCGAGGGAAAAAATTGAAATTTCGAAATATCCATTCATTTTACGTTTAACACGATGGACGAAGAGGCAAATAAGGGAGAGGGGAGACATCGGATTCTCAACAATGAAACCCATTTCAATGTTTAATCAAACTGCAAATGTATCCGACTTGAAATTTCATTAAATCTCGACGTGCGTCGTTAGCTGCGTTACCGCTGTATTAATATGCCTGCAGTATATAGATCAAAAAATTGTTACGCTGGCATGAGTGTCACACTCGTCTCGCCGATCAGACGTGAAGACTTCATCTTGTATCGCATTCGAGTTATATTCATCGTATGTTGTATCGATTCTCGTACGCGCATTACATTATCCATGATTCCACTGCACTGAGAAAAAAATGCTGTTGATTCAATTAAATTCTATATTACGGGCTGTCACTAACATAAGTGATTAATTCATGTATATTTTTATTGACATGAAGGCCTTAATTATTGAAATAATAATTTATGCCTTTATCAATAAAAATATTCATGAATTAATCACTTATGTTAGTGACAGTCCGTAATATAGACTTTAATTGAATCAACTTTTTTTTTCAGTGTGTGTACATATCTACGAACGAACGTGGTTGTATGGTACGTGCATATCTTCGCACGTTGATTGCATCAACATTATAGACTTATGTAAATCTATGATCAACACAATCCCTGAAACCTGTGTGTAAAATAATCGAACGGGCAGTTTACGTCATGGAGGAGGAAGAGTACGAGGCAAATATGGGAAGAATGATGGAGAATGATGAGTTTCAGGATGATATTGAATTCGAGTATAGATATGATGACTTTTTCAAAGTGGAACAATCCCTCGACTCGGAAGAGGCAAAACCTTTCGAGGAAAGAGAGTGGGAAGAAGAGGAAGAACCGCGTAGGTTATAGTTCTTGAGAGGAAATTTGACATAATGATAACTGAATATTTTATTGTACATTTGTTATTAATGATACATGTATTTCTTACCACATCGAAAATTTTAATTCATTTGAATTCAAATAAATTAGAAAAAAAAACGCAAAATACGATACAGGATTAAAGCTTGATGTCTAATAATATTTCTTTATATAAATTTTAAATACATCTTTTATTTAAATAAATCGATTAACTATCAGACTACTTGAAACATAATTATAAATTGAAGCTGAAATAATATCTTAAATTCATCATCAATTTAATAATGACGCTAATATACGAAAAAAAAAACGATTTTATGAAATATCTAAAAATTGAGCTAAATATAGATTTGAAAATAATATTTGACCAAAATAATTATGTATAAATTTTAAGCATAATGAGCAATGCTGCAAAAAATTCACATTTAAATAAACTAAAATCAATAATCCTTTTTATAATTTTGTAAACTTGGTGCTTTATCGTGTCATTCATATTTATGATCGGCTAAATTTATGTTTCATTGTTAACATTTTACTTTTTATATATTAATTACTTTGAAAGTTCTACTGGTTTTGATGATTCAACAAAATTATTTTCATATTTGTAATTTAAAATATTTATAAACTAAATTTTTAGATATTTCAACAAAATCATTCTTCCTATGTAAACATTTTAAAAAACATTACAAAGAATTTATTACAAAAATATCTAGCCATGCATGACTGAGGTGAAATTTTGAAAATATTTAAAAAAATTGTTAAGCACCAGCTACGATCGTATTTGCCGCTATTTTCTTACTTATTTGTGCTATTTATGTTATCTAGTTTAATTTATTATTATTAACACATTTGTTAATTATTTTAGTACTATGCGAGGGAAAAGCTAAAGTTAAAACAAAACTAAATACAAAATTTAAGGCATTATTCAATATATATTTTTTTTAATTTGAGTGTAATAAAAATATTCTGTTTATTAACTCAAAACAAAACTAAATACAAAGTTTAAGGCATTATTCGATATATATTTTTTTTAATTTGCGTGTAATAAAAATATTCCGTTTGTTAACTCAAAACAAAACAAATACTCTTTAATAGAAATACGTTCTGTTAAAGCATACAACGGACGCGTTCGAAGGAATAACGTCGATAACGTCAAATGTAGAAATATTGAAACTTTGTAACGAATGGGTTAAAATTATGTGTTGGACGAAGATCGATGATGCGTATCAAATACGCACATCGGGTGGAAGTATGCATAGTGTTAACAATGAAACGTAAACTTAGCCAAGCGTAAATATGTTCAAATATAAATGACGCGATTTAAAATACCGAGTTGGCACAAATAATGAAAAAAGATTATTGATTTTGGTTTATTTAAATGTGAATCATGCGAATCCGATAAAAATGTTGACCGTGCTCAGAAAAAAACATAGCAACAGTAACTATAAAGGTGTTTTAATAAAACAATTTTATACAAGATTCCACATAAAACTTGTACAGTTGTCGCTTTCATAATCGTTACTATTATCTTTTTCTCTGAACATAAACTGACTGAATATTTTTGTTATTTTGCTTTATTAGTTTGCTGTTTCAAAGTCTATTAATCAGAAAATTAATTTATTTAAATAAAATTCTGCTGTGAAATGTTATCTTAATAATTGGAGAACTAAATAATTTTCTTACTGTCTAAAAAGTCGTGAATTATCTGTTTCATTGTTCTGTCAGCTGTACAAGATTGGGAGACAGAAGCGAAGAAGAAAATTAATATAGAAATGGATGTGCCGTCGGAGGAAAGAAAACGGAAAACTGTCCATGATCTCAATGCTTACTCCTCTCGACCGTCATTGAACGACATTTCGAAATCTAACACGACGCAAACAACCACGGAGCCATCAAAGAAAATTCGATATTCCGTGTCGATGGTGAATATTTCAGCGTGCCAGCGATTTATTTTATTTTCAAAACTTCCGAATTATTGAATTGTTCTGTCAAATGTAAGATTTTAAAAGTATTCACGGCAAAGATTCTGCAGAATTATATCTGAATAAGAGATAAGACGTTATTAATTTTAAATGTATTAAATATATTTAATATTTATTTTGATTTCTATAATATCGACAAAAGAGGCATCACTTCAGGAGAAAGAAAAAAGAATATTAATAATTACAAAGTTAAATTTACGTTGGTTTAATCTTACAATTAGAGACTACCGGGACTTGCAAGAATCGATCTGTCGCCATTGACACAAAAAATCGTGGGCTGTATCATTGGAGAGGATGTTACCACGGAATTTCCATGGGTGCGCGTTGGAAAGAACATCATAGAAGACAACATAGACTTACATTCTGAGAGCAGTGATTTTCTGCTAGTAAAGGACGAGGTTCATGCATTTCCTGATAACAAGATTTTCATCGGATACGCACCATCCCTAACCGAAAAGGGCCAATTCTACATTGTTCTTACCGAGGAAGGCAGAGACGCTGTAGTGAAACATATACATGAGCAAAGGGAGGAACACGAGAATCGTGTAAAAAGTGCGATTTGCAAATTTCCTGGCCGATGGGATGACTTGGGAAGTGGTGCCGACGTCGATGCAAACGTCGCCAAGAACACAAGGCCGCTATTCGAGATTGAGGTTTTCATACTAAAACAAAAAAATAGTTTTAATTACCATAATTTAACTGTAATTTATATTTTTAGTGCCAATTACACATATATTCTTTTTGATAGAAGTATAAGTATAATTATTATATATCTAATATTATAGCAATAATAACTATAAAAATAGAACTTTTAATTATTTTATCAATTGTTACAAATGCTTTCTTCTCAGTGTAAATCATTAAAGAGTCATAATTCTGGTTTTGGACACATTAAAAATTATATTTGCGGTTTGTGACATTAAAGAATTACAATCTGGTCATTCTACTATTCCCCAAGAATCAAAATTTATATGATACATCATTTATTAATTTAAAAGATATTACTCTTTAATAATTAGAAGATTTAGTATGATAATATCTAATTTAATATTTTAAGAACTTGAAAAAATTAAAGCTCAGAAATTAAACTTGAATTAACTTCTTATAAAATAAGTGCATTGAAAAGTACTATACTGAATTCTTTAATTGTTAATAAAAATCGACATAGACAGGACATGTTACATATCGCATTGGCAGATCCTGACATTAAAGTTCTCGTAACTTTCGTCAAACGTGTCGCGTCACGGCTTTCATTGTCAAAACTTCCTGCCGCGACTTGCATGTCAATTCAATTTCATGTTCAAGCGTTGAACAACACAATCCTCCACATTTTTCAAAATTTTTATTACGTTTCGACAGCGCGTATTATGCGAGCATGAATATTGATAGTTTGCGTTTACTAATTCTGAGTCGCAGTATTACAGCGATTATCGTAAATTTCTATTAATTCCGCCTCTATAAATATTAGCCTCAGTGGACAGACAATAATATTGCAGCGGTGTTCACAAATCGCAGTAAATTATTTAGTTTAATCATTTTATCCTGATTTCAATCAGGCAAGAAGCAGTTTATAAATCCCACAATGCTCGTGATTGTTTAATCGTATTTATGAGAAGTACTATATGGGAGATATATCGTATGACCCGCACCGTTGCTGATGCACCGACCGATTCATATCTTTCGCATTTAATTACGATCAGGTTACGTCTACCGCTGATTTGCTGAACGTGCCGATAAAGCTAACGGACAGGAAGGCGGATGATCAGAGAGACGGATACATTGAGCTGCTACCGAATAACCGGCAAATATTTGAGAATATACGACGTAAATTGGTAAGCAGGTATACGCAAGTGATGCCGATCGTACGACACAGCGAGGTGCAAACGGCACCATCGATATCTGTCAATTCTTGGTACCAATATCTGTACGAATACAAGACAATCGATTTGTCTACTTATACCGAGGATAAGATAGAGGCCTTAAAATATTTTTTGAAACTCTACACTGATGAGGTGTGCGATCAGGTAATATTACAAATTGATTTTACAGTACTTTAAATAATATATAATTAAAATATAGTTAAAACACAATAAAAATGTAATTATAATTAAAATATAATATGCTATAATGTAAATTTATTGACTTATTTACAACACTTTAAATATTGTATAATTAAAATACAGTTAAAACCTAATAATACATAATTACAATTATAATTGGGATATAATGTATGTTATCAATAACTTAATTACAAGATTAATTATAAAAGGATTTAACTATTTTTTTAAATTAGAACTTAAAAGGTAACGACATTTCTTATTTATCAACTATTTTGTCACAGGTTTTAATGAACTCCACGTGGGATATATATGCAAACGATTATGCAAATTTGGTGCGTAGTGAAAAGGATACGCAGGTACCTATACCTATAGGCTATGAAGAACATCAAAGCTACTACGACGGAAAGATCATTGTGGATAAAGTTATCAATGATCTCTGCTGGCATCCGTTCTGGACCGGAACGATGATAGCTGCTTATACGCAACATGCGAAGAGCGAGCATTTAATAGGTCCCAAAACTTATGATGAGGTATGGCAATTGCAAATTACTTCTAAAAATTGTATTTATTTTAATCATAAAATTGATGTAGCTAGCTTTTTCCATCGCAAAGAAAATTTTAATTATTAATGTAGAATATATTTTTCTATTGACAAAAAAAAACACACGCGTGTAATATAATTTTAATGTATTATGATTTACACAAAATTGTATGTTCTCATGAACAGGTATTTTTAGCTTGCGAGGGCAACAATAAAGTATTAATATGGTCTTTCGACGACTGTTTGTCACCTAAACTCATCCTTGAATGTCCACGAGAAGTGACATCCGTTTCGGTCTGTCCTATCGACAATAGCATCATTATAGGTGGCTGCATAAATGGCCAGGTGATTAAAATAGATTTTACTTTTTCCTCATCATATGTTTTTGTTTGTGAAATTAATCATTGACTGATAGCTGGATTTCTTGAGACCAATGGCTATTCATTAGTCTTCGAAGGTTATTCGTGTATATCCTTCATATTGCAAGGATGTACAAAACTATTGCTTTTTTACTGTCGTTTTTTACTATACTATATATATTCGGAACGAATTTTTGATTATTCGATAGAGTATTGATAAAAAATGACAAAATCGCAATCCTCGAAACACTGTTAAATATTAAAAAATTAAATTTAAACCAATTCTTAAGTCAAATAATAATTTTTTATTTTTAACTTTCAAGTGTCAAAATTTTAGTACAAAAAACTTGATCAAAAAACAAATTAATCAATCTATTTTTTAATGATAAAATTACTTAGTTTCAAAGTAAATACGTTTATATTAAACGTGTATGCTTCATTAAATATTAAACTAAATTTAATTAATATTTAAGCACAAAGATCTACTTCAGATCAAATAGGAATTTTCTTATTTAATTAAATAAATTTAATATTTCTCTATTTAAATCTTTTAATCTTCATTGTTGAGTTTAACTCCATTATTTAATTAAATTAACGACATATTGAATAAGAGTAGCAAGGATCTATAGAAATGGTTGAAAATAACTCGAATTGGGTATAATTATGAATTTAACAGGATACGTCTTTTTCGAAGATTAAGAAGATTGAAAAAAAATTGGAAAATAATTCGGTAGTAAAAACGCGTATGAATTTAATATTTTCCTCATTTCGCAAACGAATAGCAATCCACCAATATCGATTAACCCGTTATTGCGATGCACCCCGAAGCATTCGCATTCGCTTGACACGTCATCCCCGCGAATGAATAACGCGACACGCGTGTGTACGTAAACAAATTCTTCCGACAGACGCGGCAATCCGATGGAACACGATCGGTATCAATCACGTATATCGAAAAACACATCGTGATGGTGCCGTGGATCCACCGGGTGTTCCCCAGCTTGTCACCGCGTGCCGCTCCCGTTTCGGACATGAAAATTCGAAAAGTACGTCGGCAATCATGGCGGACGCGAACAACAAACGTAACGCGAATATCGTATGCAAGCGGGATCACCTATCTCCATTAATCCATCGCGACGATTCTCTCGTTGCTCCACTTGGTGTTCCACAACGTTCTGGATATCAGATGACACCTAAAACGCACCCGTCAATCGAGCAATCAAGTCAATCATTGTGAAATACGCTGATTAAAAATGCGCAATAAATATGAATAATGCCGAGAAATGCATTATTCCTGCTCGTGAAAACCAAGTAAAAGAAACTGTGGATGTCCGAAAATATTAAACTTTTCATATATTTTTTCAAATAGATTGTTTCACAAAAATAACAACATAAAGTTCGATCAGTTTTATTCAGGCTTACATACTTCTATTATCGAAAAAAATAAAATTTAATTTCTTTTATTACAAAAAAAATATTTATTTTTATTGAGTTCGTTAGCGAATATTGTTTCATATTTCTAATTTTTATCAACGCTCTACTGTCTAAATTGAAAACTGCGTGCATTTTCTTAATTGCCCAACACTATTTGTAAGCTGAAATTAGCAAATTTTAGACAAGAAGAAGCGTCTGGGAAAATGTATGGGGAAAACATCTCGTTACAAGCTGCAACCGTGAAACTCAAAAGTCTAGATTATAGTAAAACGAGGAGAAGGAGGACGGTGAACGACGATAAAATCCATCCATATCCTTGCCGTAGATCGCCATCTGGCACATTCCCGGCAAAATCGAGCAGGTGGAGATTGTGGTGACACAGACGAGCGCCCAAGTGAAGTACAGCAACGCGATGAAGAGCTTGATGACATGGATGCGCGAGACGACGTCGTTGATCAGTCCGACGGCGATGTCCTCCCTCAAGTACAGCCAGAAGGCGGGCATCACCCAAATAGTCTGGGTGCCCTCGCATCACAAGATCGACAAAAACGGCCGGATCTTGTCCTTGCCGGAAGACGCGCCCCTGGACGATCTAAGCTATCAGTTTGCAACCGCCTGCACGGACGGCACCGTCGCCTTTTGGGATCTTAAGTGAGTGTCGTCTTTGCTTGTCGATCTTTTAATATATAATATTTATGATTTAACGGATGTTCTTATTTCTTATGTATAACATTTTTAATTGTTAACAGTCTTAATTTACTAATAAGTATAATATTTGTTGTATCTAACACTAATGTACAGTAAAGTATAATGTACAGTAATATACAATTTCTCATGTATAGAAAAAGCATTTTATTTTATCTTAATGCTGCATTATACAGAAAATAAGTGCTTTTGTATTTACATAATATAAAGATTATATTAAATAAAAAAGGAATACGAAGTTGACAAAATATAATATAGCAGGGAAATTATAAAATGAAGAAGATCATAATTTTCCTATCATTTTGTATTTTATCAATTTCGTATTCCTTTTGGATTTAGTAATTCGATTATATTAAGTATGTAAATACAAAAGCACTTATTTCTTACGTAATGCGTTATTAAGATGGAATGAAATGCTTTTTTCATGTATTATATGGGAAAAGAGCTATTTTCAAATTGCTATATCTCAAAACTTTTTTCTTCACATGTTGCAAAATGAACTTAGACAATGTAATTTTCTCATATCTTTTTTACTTTCGTCCACTTAGTTTTCTATAAACATTTTAATTCTTCTTATTAAATACTGACGACTGACGATAAAAAATAGATGTTGTTGTTCATCATTTATAAGTACTTTTAATAATAAAAGTTTCATCAAAATCGGTGTATACATATCGGGTAATATTCCTTGTAAGTAAAATGAGTTTTTATTTAGATTTAATATTGAGGATTGACAGTATTATCAATGGTTTTATAAGAATTAGGGCGAATATTGACATTATTGATATTCTGTCGCGTTGCACGAGTAGTTCCATCGATTAAGGATTAAACGTGAAGGAACTAAACGTGACCTCCGAGGAGTCGCATCGAATTGATGTCGATTCGTCGAACGAATTTTCCTATGAACTACGGCGCCATTCGACTCACAAGAATAAAAACTAAAATATTCAACATAATATTCTCGATGTAGTGGAAGAGGATTGTTTACCTTATATTTCATTTTCGCAATACCTGGCACCGTCGTGTCAGTGAAAACGTCACGTCGTTTTTCTTAAAAATGCAAGAACACCTTGAATGTTGACTGACGTATGATCGACCAGACTCTCGATCTGAACCCAGCAATTGGTAACCAAGGTCCGAACCTATCGTATCTCCCGAGACTGGAAGTTAGCGACTTCGAATGTTCTGACTGGCGCGAAACTTGTCGCAAGCGAAACGTTAAAGAGCCGAGCTCCGTCTCTTGCCTTTCAAGTCCTTCGCTCCGGACGCGGGACGACGAACTGCCTTCCGCTTCCTCCTGCCTTCCATTCCCCGTCCATCCATCCTTCTCGAGAAACTCTCCCGAAACCGTAATGGTCCTGCGACTTGACTCACCGTCGCTCCTTGATTCTCCGAAGTTGGCGTTTATATGGTCCGAAAATGGATAGACCATCCCTCCATAATCGTTGATCGGTATTCAGTTCTCGCTCGCTCCTAACCATTCCCTTGCCGTAGTCCAGAGTAGTCCTCCGGACCTGCTAACTCCCAAGCACTCCTTGGCCTCGTCGATCTCTCTGCATGCTCAGTAGGGTGCGAGGGAGAGTCGCTCTTCATTTCGGCTGTGCCACAATGGCTATGTAGATGTTCCAATACTAGTGAATTGTTTCCTCACTTGATTCGAAATTGGTACGATATTTACGAGATTACACTCTATTCTAAGCCTCACTGAGAGAAACGAGCGTGTTTGCATGAAATTACACCGACAGAGATAAACTTCCGAACAAATAATAATTGATAAAAAATCTTATGATAAATTTACATTTAATAGTTGATTATAAAAGTTTCGTTTTTCTGTTGTACAAGATATTTGAATAAAAAATATACACATATAAAACAAGCGCTAATCTTCTAATTCTAATAACTATATAGATGAAAAATTTGTTAAATTACAGTATTAAATTTAACACATTTTACTTGTCTCAAACAATCCATCTAATTTTTCGTGTTAATTTAACTTAATTTAATTTAATTGATTTCATGATACAAATGTAAAATGTTTTTTTACTGTGTCTCGTTTTTATTAACGAGAAAACGTTGAAATTTTTTTTTCCTGACGAAGAACGTTGATCTGAAAGGTGGGATCCTATGGAGAAAACTATTGAGCAAATTCGTACCGAACGAAAGAAGAAGATTCAACCAGATATTCAGGAATCCGTGACGCAGCCGGCATCGCCGTTCAAAATTCTTGATCGTGTCTTCAAGCCTCACTATTACCTCATGATTCAACATCCGGATGAGAATCGATATCTCGTGATAACGACTCTCAGCATGTACAATCCAAAGTTTCACAAGGAACAAGTTGAACCGTTCTCGATGACAAGAGACGATCCCACAATTAGAAAGTATTACAGACCCATAATCGAGAAGCCGGACTATGTCATGGAGCCGAAGATACTCATCGGTACTATCGAAGGTAAAAACGACTTACATAACATTTTCTTACTCAATTTCCGATCGTTGACAACAAGGTTGAGAGACAAGCGACACGGTTATACGAGTTTATTAATGCAATTTAGATGTGAGATTAAGTACAATTAATTATACTTGAATCTCCCTAAATAAGATTGATCTAATTTAATATTAATGGCAGTAAAAAGTGGATTAAAGCGTAAACGACGGCAACAGGTGATTTTGGTTGCGTAACGTGGACCGGCTACGAATTCACCGAAGTGGGCATGAATCGCGAAACGGCACGGTGGGTCTGGATAAAGAAGGTACACGACGGACCGGTTACGCACGTAGTCAGATCCAGATATTATCATCAGGTGGTGGTCACAATAGGAGGCAAGATCTTCGCCGTGTGGCGGGACGATTTCGCCAAACCGGTCATTTGCAAAAAATCCAACGTTGGGTAGGTGAAAAGTTCGCGCGGGATCATCTGACTAAAATAAACTGAACCTTCGCTTCCGCGTCAGAGTAAACTCCCGGGTGTTAAGTGATTCTCGTCGTGCAGAGAAGAGAGAATGCAACGAGCAACGAAAATAAAAAAAAGGAAAGAGAGGAAGAGAGTTGTTCGTCTTGAAATAAACACGAACACGAGCGAGAATTGCATGCGGAGAAATTACTTCTCAAGGAGTAACGTCAATATCGCGAGAGTTAACGAAACATGAATATACATAAACGCGGTAAACATACGGTTCGCGCAGGTTTTGTTCGCGTTTCATTCGGAATAAAAATAACGAGTACGAGCGCGCACAATAAATTGCCTCAGTGTACAGCATGTAATTGCGATGATAGCATTTCGTATTGCCCGACGTACAAGCATTGACGCGTAATGCCCGTCTGCTTGCTTGTTTCACGCGCATAGTTTTCGCTGGTAAAAGTCGAACTTTCGGTATGATCTGCATGATAATATGATTATAAGTTACATTTACAGCCTGTGCGCTCTACTATTACGTTAATGAAAGCCCGCGTGTTTTTCTATTTCGTATTAATGAAAACTATTTTCGATGTATGGTCGCACACGACCTGACTCAACAATCGTTATCGGATGTTGTCTAGTACGTCTATACTTTCGCGATTCTAACACTCGACAGATAGTTTATTCCGTCTCATTAACTCTATATAGTTTTAATTATTTTAGAGAGACAGCGACACACATCTTCCATTTAAAATTATCTCAAGTAAAAAAATCAGTTCTCAAGTAACAAAAAATTTAGTTGTATAATTTTGTATTTAATTAAATTAACGAGTATTTATTAAAAAAAAACAAACTCTGAACTATTATAGCTATATTTTATTAAATACCAAGAAGTAATAATTAATATTCATAGATAAATAACTATCTTAGCTTTCATACAAAAGCTTTAAGATGCTTCGCTTTATCAATGTAAAAAGCAGGAAATCAGGAAACAGCATTGATTTAATGCTGACCAGCATCACTATTGTCTTTAACCAAATGCAGCTACTCGGCGTGCTCATGGGGAACTATACGTCCGACTGTTTTGATTTTGGGGCGAATAGACGGTACCATAGAAATTTGGGATTTCGAAGTCAAGAGTCACGAGCCAAGCTTCATGCAGAGTCTGTCTGGACGGGTAATTACAGGCATCTATACTCACGAGTTACCGCTGGAACCGCAGTGTATTGGATTTTGCGACTTCAATGGCTCCTTAAGAACGTTCACGGCGCCACGTGTCTTACTGACATACGACGTGGGCGACGTCGAGTGGATGAAAAAGTTCATCGACCGACAGGTTCAAAGGGTAAGATAAAAAGGAGCGTGACAGCGATATATCTAGAATGATATCGATTAAACGTCTGAACGAAATAACTTGAGATTTATAATATCAAAAGCAAAATGTTTTTATTAAATAAAAGGATTGTATTATATATTTAAAAAAATAGTATAATTGTTAGTTATCGAATCCGTAAAAATTAACTAAGTTTCATTACATAAAAAGAAAATTTTACTAAAGTATTTAAAAATTTAGATAGATACGGATCTGAAAATAATTTTGTTGGACTATGAAAATAATTATGTAGAAAATTCATGATCAATGCATGAAAAAGAGCATTGCTGAAAAAGTTTTGATTAATTTAAGCGTCCTACAAAATTATTTTGATAGTCCAAAAAATTATTCTCAGACCTATATCTAGCTAAATTTTCAAATATTTCAGTAAAACCATTCTTTCCGTGTAGCAATGATATATTTTCATTTGATACAAGAACGTCGTTTCACACAGCATAAATCCCATAATTTCACAACGTTACAAACAACATGTGTTACATTTATGTTATTGAGTGTAAAATTATAACGTTGATGTTATTTCTAGTTGGTGTTTATTGAGATGTAAATTTCAATGCGTATACATATTTACTCGCTTCATAAAACTTTATACTTTTATAAGACGGAAATATATCGGAACTTAATGGAAATCGTGTTTGTAAAAAATCTTTCTTTCTTTACGCTGTTACTTTTATAGTAACTTATCGTAAATTTTACTGCTAACAATAATACAAATTTTTTCGTATCTTGTATCCGTATATGATTGTCTATTTTCATATATGATTAGATAACCGAGTTTCGAGCCTGGCAAGAATCATGGTGTGAATCAAATCTCGAGGAGATCTTGATGAAGAAGAATCTCAAAAAAATGAAAGAAGAGAAAAAGCGTCTGGAGGCTGAGGAGAAGATTAAAGTTGACACGATCGATGTGGTGGCTCGTGTAACTACACCTACAAAACCTGTGGTATACCTGTGGATCAATTTAATATTCCACGTTAATAAATAATTCAATGACTTTCGTTCTATTCATAGCGCCGCTTCGGGCGGCAGTTCGCACTACATAATCGCACCTGAGCGAATCGAACGTTTACAGCCGTGTAAATAACGGTGCCTTTCGTGAATTCCTGGTGCTAGTCGATTCAGTCGGGCACATCCAGAGCAGAGAAAAGGAAACCGATCTTTCTTCTTTTACTAAGTTAATTTCGTACTATTCATAGCATCGGAAGCCCTGGCAATTCATCGAGGAAGCCAGGGAACGGTGGACGTCAATGGAAGCAAAGCGCATGCAACGAGTGATCCTGGAGAAAAAAGGGCTCAAAAAGGACATCCTCGAGAGGCAGCGCGCGCCGCTTCTTAGATTGCGACAGGAAGCGAGGACAAAGAAGCATAAGATACGCGAGATCCTGAGTCTGCAGGACAAGATCTTTGAGGAAACCGTCATGTTCCTCTTCCCGGAGCAGCAGGAGCGCAGAGAAACTTTGTTGCCGCCTTTGCCATTCAAAAAAAGTACGTCAAGGGAAACAATTAATCTTACGGCCATCCTTTGCAAATAATTAGCACGATATTGTACATAAATAATACAAAAAACACTCGCTCAAATAAAATGTACATTCGTAAAACGATGTGTATACAATATCGATGTGATAGCGCACAAACAATTAAATGTATTGTAGTGCATATTTTAGAGACTATGTAAAACGAAAAATATCATTTTTTTTTTATATTGTTTATGTCTCTTCTTTATAATATTATTCCATTTTTATATATATATTTGCGCTGTTTCACTAATCAGTTTTTATTTATTTCTTCATTTTTTATTTATTTATTTTTCTATTAAAAAATATTGTCCAAAACTGTCTCTAATATGTCATTAAAATAAAAGTTAATTATAACTTTTATTTTAAAAAAAGGTGTACATATAAAAGCACGACTGGAATCTTTCCATTTTAAAGAAATATTTAACATTTTAATAATAAATATATAAATACAAAAATGAAAAGATGAGCAAGAAAGAATGTTAGTTCAAAGTTACCTATGATATATCTTTAACTTGGACTTTTTTCACATGAAACTTCTGTATATTAAAATATTTAGCTTTCAACACAAGTGTGCGAACAACATTAGACGCTAATTATTTTTTCTGTAAAAAGGAAGTTTTTGCTGATTCTGAGGAAGAAATTATATACAATTTTATGGAAGTACAAGCCGAGGTTTTGGCCAAATTAAAGAGCAAGCCTTTCAAACGCACGTTCGACTGGCGCAAAGTACTCGCGCAACGAAAGTCGAGGAGAAGATCGATGGACATCGAACTCAAGAAGTTAAACAGACTGAAGAAGACGTTCAAAGTGGACGGTGCTGTAAACGATGCATCACGTCTTGTCGACAACGTATAAAAGATGTATGAAGATACGGCTCTGTTTTACATTTTGATTTGTGTTTTGTTAATTTCTGAGATACCAGATTTGTAACTCAGATTTATGTGAATTTGTTTTTCACTCGTTATATTTACGAAGAGAAGAGAATTCTCTGGACAGAAGATTAATTTGATGTGCTAAACAGCATGACATAGCAATTTCTGTATCAATTTATTTTCCAGTTGCACGATGCTAAAAGTTCGAACGCGCAACAACCATTTTTGATAAGTTTAGGTAACTACATACGATGTATCATAATTTTGTAGTGTTGTTCCACGAATCTACAGTCATAATACATTTTAACAGAGCTACAGTCATTTTTCTTTCTAGAAATGCCTTTGTGACTCTAAAATTACATCCATAATTTTGATTGCATTTCTGATAATGCATGTCCTAATGTAATGTATTGTTGGAAAATGAAATTACGTATCCTCGTGAGTGTCGTATAAGTTTATTTTTAGGAGTTCCTTTTAATCCCTTTAATCAGTACCGCTACATTACTTGCGACTGTAATGGCCACCTTTGAAACAAATAAAGCTCAGAGTCTGCAAATATAATTTAATTTTGTGAGTTTATCGAATAAAAGTATCATATAAGGAAAGAACAAGGTATTGCTATTAATTCTTTTATCACTATATCTAAAGGGAAAAGAATACATACAAAGATATATTTTTATATACCTTTGAGTATCCCAGGATCTGAAATGTGCATGTCATCACGATAATTGAATATCTATAAACAGAAGACATATATGACAGGGAAAGAATAGAACGACTGGATAAGATAAGGAATTGTAATATTTTTGTCGCGAATCTTAACTTATTGCACATGGAAATTCAACTTCATATCATCAATCTTAAAGTAACTTTAAGAAAGGAAATTATAAATGCATCTTATTACAATAATTTTAAGAGTACATCATTTATATTTTCTAGTTTATTTGTAACAATCTGATAATACTCATACACTGCAATGAACATGTACGAAGTAATTACAATAATGAGACGGGTAAAAGGGGAAATGTGGCAGTTAACGGAGACTGACGATCTTCGCTTCGGCGATAAAAGTGACGTAAAGGAATGTCTGGGAGCAGAGAAGGGATGAAAGGATGGAAAGTAGGAGTTGGCAGCACACTCGACGATTTTTCATAATTAAAGCGGATTAAAACTCAGCAGCGGGACCGTAAATGAATTTGAAATTTCAAACTAGGTATGCTCTTCTTCTGCTTCTCCGTCGCGTTCCCGCCCTCCTTTTGTCATTCTTTCCCGTCATAAACGGATCTGCGAGGGACTGTGGTCACCGTGGCGCAACTTGTATGCCGAGTTTATCTGTTTTTATTTCCCCGGAGTAGCACACTTCTCCGATTTAATTTACTGTCTACTCCTTTGGCACGAATGATACTTTCAACCTTTAAACACACAGAAAGAACAGTTTTGCTGGAGGATCTAAAAATTTAGCTAGATATAATGAATCCGAAAATAAATTTTATTGACCATCAAAATAATTATGTAGAACACTCAAGATTATAGTTGCTACAATAAATGAATAAATAAATAATCTTAACTTTGCCCTACTTATTGACTTACCCACATTGTCAAAAATATTTTGTAAAATTATTTATCACGTTTAAACATCCTACATAATTATTTTGATATTCCAAAATTTAAATCTGTATCTAACTTTTAGACTCCAACAGAATAATTCTTTCCGTATAGACAGGAATACTCGCGATACATTTGAAAATTACCTGACAATTGGAATTAGTTGAACATGAAAGCACGGAGTGTACTCTAAAGTAATATCTGTAATTGTGAATTTCTACACAGTGTAAAAGCTTATATCGCTATTGTTCAACTGCACATTGTGTAAAAGCTTACAATGCTATTACTCAAAAGTTGGTGCAGCTCTAAACAAAATAGATATGTGAGCACACATTTAAAAAAAAATGTTCTCAGTTATCAATGTTGCGATATTTTTTTTCAATATTTTATCTACCTATACCCTGTTTTTCTACATTTGTATCGATACGCAAGATAGCTGGGTTTAGCAACCTATGTGCAATGTTTGAAATATTGTAGCAACGGGATGAGTGGGTAAAGGATGAAAGCGGTTTTCGACCGAGGTCGAAAACAGTTTTGTATGGGGTGGGGACAAGTTGTAATTATTCAAAATAACGATGCTTTGTTCTGATCCGTGTGTCAGACGTCGCGGGATGTCGACTCTCATTTCGCCCAACCCTTCCATCGCCACGTAATTTTACCGTTAAAAGGTGAGTCTGCACGTACTTCCCTAATGACGATAATGACCGTATAAAAATTTACGCCGCGGGTGAAAAACAAAGAGCAATAAAAGGAGTCTGACCTGACAAGGAATAAAAAGATGATTTTCCTCCACTTATATCTACACATGCAGTTTCATAGATATCTATTAAGGATCATATCTCAAAGCATTATTAGAAATATAAAAATTTCATAGATTAATTTATAATAACATATCAATTAATTTAAAATGATTATCAAGAATTTGAAACACCGCATAATATAATTTTAGATGCTGAGTGTGAATATTCAAAAATTATATTCATCACACAAATTGGAGATCCAATTTTTTATATTAATTTAACACGAGATGAATATATAATATTAGACAGTAATATACACAAATATTATATAAAAATTAACATAAAAAATTACTTGAAAATAAATTGTAAAAAACATATTATTATCCTTTTATGTTACTAGACTTTTAATCTAAATACAAAATGTTTTTATTGTGTATTCTCAATATGTAACCAAAGGGAATAAAAGAATAGGAACAAGATTTCTAATTATTTTTATGTACATGTAAATTTTATAATAATCTCGGAAGATTAGTATCTAGAGATATACGAATTTTCCTCGATAACTCTTACTAGGCGAAGGTGAGGAAAACGACGAGAAAAAATGGAACGCGAATCAGAAGAATAAGTTAATAAATAGCAACGGATTATTACCGAAATGTAGGAGTCGGAACATGGCTGCCGGGCACGTGGCAAGTTTCCGAAACTATCCGCACGACCTTCTGCAACTGACTATCGCCTTATTGCCTAAGTTCGGAACATCCCAGAGGGTGGGTCACGTTCGTTCCTGCGTACAAGTGTTTCTCTATTTTTCTCGCGACACGAGCTCTACGCTTGCTTCCACCTTCTCTCTTTTCTACTTCTTGTGCTCTTCCTTTTTGGAATTCGCTTTGTCCTGAACGATCAAAGTTTTCCCCGGGCCGATCATGAACAGTATGCGCCGTGCGGGACGATCGTTTTCGCAACTTTTCTCCCACGTCGCTTCCTTCCGGCCTCGAGCATTCGGTTCGTTTATCCAACTGAAAATCATCGACAATGCGCGGAACATTCGACATTAGTTCAAATCTCACATTCGTAAAATCCATTGGGCGATTAAACAACCGGATGTTACGTACATATTCTACTCTACTGCGTCAGAAAAATAAATCGGAGAAAAATTGGCAAGAGAACATAGCCATATACATATGTGATAGTAAAAATTCTTCTCTTACACGATCAGTGTGATGTATGCGATGACGAATCGGCTGATACATCACACTACTTGATTTGATTACGTAAGAAAATGCGTTTGTTTCATTTCTTTGAGTGTCATGTTATATGTTTATCCATTTACGTACATTTCCTTTATTATTTGCAGTCGCTCATGTATGTACCTTGTACAAATATTTTATAAATGCTCTTAACAAAACCATCTTCTGCAAATGTTAAATTCTTATATTTTCCTTTGTAATTTTTGCTGGAGCAAATTCACAATGTGGCTACTGAAAACGATTAGATGTTGTCGCAACTCAGATTACAAAAAAATGAACCTATTTGATTTCTATGAAATGTCTTTCAATTTTGTAATATCATACAAAATTTACCATTCTTATCTAAGAACATAAAGAATCCAACATTAATTTTCAAAGATAAATTACTAAATATAGCGCAATAATTTGAAAACATAGAATTATTATTTTTATTAACACCAAAGAAAAATGAAAAAATTATGAGTGTAATATTAATCTACTTTTTTGTATATGTACATACATTGTAATGCACTTAATTTTGTAGCGAAATAGCAGCATTTTATATTCTTAGCGCGGAAATGCAAGAAAGTATTGTCATCTGATTTTAGAATGACGTTAGATGATGTTAAATGGTCTCTTTTTTCTCATATATAAAAACGGGCGATGAATGTGGAAAAAAAGAGTGGCTTCTTCCGTCGCGCAGTAATATCGACGCTGACAGTGCGACAGGCGCGAGGCACTTTTAATTCTCTGCCAATTAATCTCTCTCAAATCCATGAATTAGTCCCGGTTCGGGAACCACAGCTGTTCGTGGACGGGAGCGTGCGAGAGGAGGCTTTTCGGCGATACCGTCGCGCCAGTATAACGCGAGTGATAACGAGGCTCGTAAAATTGCTACGGTGAACGATGGGCGCGTCGATTATTGACGCAGCTGGGATTTGCCCGATACCAAAATCCGGTATAAAAACCGTCGACCGTTCTGTTCACTTCGTCCGGTATTTACTCCGGCGGATCAATTTTTAACAATACTCTTCGTGAATCGGTAACGAGAGATGTAGCTCGTTACAAGAAGAAAAAAAGTGTATCATCGATTATACTGAACGATTACATCGATTCCCCTTCCTCCGATATTTTACGGTTTCTGTCGTGACAATTGGAATTTCCCGCAAAAATATTGTGGCAGCATCCTTGCAAAAAATTGCGGTACGACGTGCTTTCTTTTGACACTTGACAAAGGCTTGCTGTCCGTTCAATTTTATTTATAGATAACGTGTATGATTTATAAATAACATGTACGATTTAATTGTTTTCTCCAGCAATTAAAATATATATTTCATATTTTGATCATGAATTTTGATAGATAAATCTATATCTGAAAAAAAAATAAAATAAAATACAGAGTAAAATATAAT